ACACACACACACACACACACACACACACACACACACACACCTGTTTTAAGTCAGAAAACCAGTCACAGTGATTGACGGCTCTCTGAGCCAATAGGAGCTTCTGTTTGGTTCCTTCAGTCCTTTAGAAAGAACTGTGGAAAACCTAGAGTATTTTAGAGTTTTTTAGAGTATTTTAGAGTATTTTAGTGTTTTTTTAGAGTATTTTAGAGTTTTTTAGAGTTTTTTAGAGTTTTTTAGAGTTTTTTAGAGTTTTTTAGAGTTTTTGGACCAGGACTGGGTCAAAGAGCAGGTTGTGGTTCTGATGGTCCGTCCCTCCTCAGATCCTGGACGTCGGGGAGAGTTTACTGGTTCCTGATGAGTTCACAGCAGAGGAGAAGAAAACAGGGATGTGGTGGCGACACCTGGTGGCTGGGGGAGGAGCTGGCGCCGCCTCTCGTACCTGTACGGCACCTCTGGACCGGCTGAAGGTTTTGATGCAGGTAGGACACCACAGGGTTGGTGGACTCTGGAGGACTGAAGCTGTGGTTCTGGAGTCAACATGTGTCTCCTCAGGTCCACGCCTCTAAAAGCAACAGCATGAAGATGGGCGGCGGCTTCACTCACATGATCCGGGAGGGCGGAGTCAGGTCGCTGTGGAGAGGAAACGGGATCAACGTCATCAAGATCGCTCCGGAGTCCGCCATCAAGTTCATGGCGTACGAGCAGGTCTGAGCCGAGCCCAGGATTCACAGACCGGACCGGACCGGTTCTGTTTGAGTCCTGCTGACTAACCTCTGATCTGGTCCAGATCAAACGTCTGATCGGCAGCGACCAGGTGACGCTGGGCATCGCCGAGAGGTTCCTGTCAGGATCTCTGGCTGGAGCCATCGCTCAGAGCAGCATCTACCCCATGGAGGTCAGGACCACCAGGGGGCGGGGTCACAGGGGCGGGGTCACAGGGAGAGGGGTCACAGGGAGAGGTCTCAGAGGGCGGGGTCACAGGGGAGGTCTCAGGGGGAGGAGTCACAGGGGGAGGAGTCACAGGGGGAGGGGTCACAGGGAGAGGGGTCACAGGGGGAGGAGTCACAGGGAGGGGTCACAGGGGAGTTCTCAGGGGAAGAGTCACAGGGGGAGGAGTCACAGGGGAGGTCTCAGGGGGAGGAGTCACAGGGGGAGGAGTCACAGGGGGAGGGGTCACAGGGAGAGGTCTCAGAGGGCGGGGTCACAGGGAGAGGTCTCAGAGGGCGGGGTCACAGGGGAGGTCTCAGGGGAGGAGTCTCAGGGGTAGGGGTCACAGGGAGAGGTCTCAGGGGGCGGGGTCACAGGGGAGGTCTCAGGG